CTGGAATCATGGTGTGTATTTATATCCTAGCAATTCATAATAATTTGTTCTCATTCCCTATCATCTCTCTTCACAAAATACAACATAGGGGAGAAAAGCAATCATAAATAGAATGGGATCTGATCTGACATGACATGATATAATGCATTATCTAAATGGGGGCATGGAAGGAGGGAGCTCTCAGGAGCTGCAGCCCAAAAACTTCAGGTTTCAAAGACGTTGCCGGCACTAGCATCTCCACGGACGTTGCCTTCCCACAACATGATTTTGCTCGCTAAAGCCAGTTATTATTTCAACTAGCATAAACCCACAGATTGAATGAATGGGGTTGTGTGCGTGTGTTTAAAAAGACCAGGGTAAATCCCATGGGTTCTATGAGTCTACTCAGGTAGGACATAACCATTGGATTGAACCCTTTCATCCTCAATTTGAGATGCGGGAACTTCCCCTTTCAGAAAATATTCTGTTCAGTGAATATTGAAAGAAAATAAAATAATCAATTCATACTGGAGAATGAATGATTTAATGGGCTGAGAGAGAAGAACCAGAAGGGTTGCAGGACAGCCCTACAGCTCCCTTAAATGATATTAAAATTTATTTAGCTAGGCCCACGATGTGGCCTTCCTTCCTTCCTTCCTTCCTTAAATAATGAAGAATAGCTAGAGGAAGGATAACATTCAGCAAGCAGAGCAGCCTAAACTCTTCCCGCACAGACATGCTGCTGACTCACCGAGATGCTACACAAGGGCCTATCTCCTTGTCCCCTCCACCTACATTTTATACTCCACAGGAGGCTCTATTCTGGGAAAGAGAGGAGTGGGTGGGAGAATCAAAAGGATGTACATAACTCGTAAGGTCAAATCCACGTGATGGAGTGAGACCCCGTCACTTTGTCCCAGCTCTTGCCAACCTAGTGGTTCGAAAGCATGAAAAAATGCAAAAATGTGAGTAGATAAATAGGTACCACCTCAGTGAGAAGGTTCCGTGTCTAGTCATGCTAGCCACGTGACCATGGAAGATTGTCTTCAGACAAATGCTAGCTCTATGGGTTGGAAATGGAGATGAGCACCACCGCCTAGAGTCAGACACCACTGGACAAATTGTCAAGGGGAAACCTCTACCTTTACTTAGTTGTGCCCCAGGTTACACATCCTATTTGTGAATAAGCCGGGAGGTTGGATTGATCTCAGTAAATATTCTCTGATGAGGTTTGAAACTCTCCAACCATATAGAAGTAATGATGGGGAACAGAACAATCTCAATTTTTTTTTGAGAAATACTTCCATAGCTGAAGGAACAACAGTGAAAGACAACTTTGCCTTCTCCTGCACTTTAAGCACAAACCGTCAAAGTAAACTGGTTCAAAATTCCTGATCTTTAAGTATAGTGAACCCACCAGGCTTAAAAGGTGGTTCACTTTTTCTTGGGGGAAAATAGTTATCTTTTCCATTCCTTTTGTTTTAAACACTAGAGCAGATGTTCTAAAAACTGCAAGACCTTTTTTTTTGGAGCACAAGGTGACTTGGAAATGTAGTTAGGAAAAGTTTTCTTTTTTTACAGCAAAAAGGGTCACGTTTCTAAGGCTCAGTGGTTTTGCTACTGGACCCTTCCAAATTGCTACGCTAACCATGGACAGCGTTATGTAAGAACATACAGAGTTTCTTTCCCTCCTGCCAGCCTCTTTCCTTAGCTGTCTGTCTTAAGTGTTGCTCCATTTCATGACAGAAACATTTTTTCCCGGCATTAACGGGGGGGGGGGACTCCTTTTTCTCCCTGGAGTTTTGATGCGCGGTGCTAAGATGCATTTCTCTAACTTCTCTTCCTTTAAAAAAGAAAGAGGGTCACCATGCCATAATCCTCACCAAGAGGAGCCTTGTATTGTGTTCATTTTGTCCATATCCCCTGTCAGAACTGGCTCGCTGTTCACCTTGCCTGTGGTGACAGTAGGCTTTATCTTCCATGTCTGTGCTTGTAATCCTAGATAATCTCCTTCATTTGAATATACACCACAAAACCCCTTCACTTTTTGGAAGCTCTTGATGCAATTCCATGGATGGACCTTTGCTTCAGCCTAGAGGGGGACCCACCTTCTCCTTGAACCAGCTTCTTATTCCTTCTGCGGCCATTGTGATACGAAAGTGAGATACCAAGGACATAATAACTGCCATAGCAACCAGCTGTGAAGGCACAAACAAGAGATTATTATTCAGGTGGGGAATAAACAGCAGAGACGCAGATGAATCCTTGAAGAACATGTTTTCTCGCCGGTGTCCTTTGTAATAAAGAACGTGTGAGCAGAAAATATAGGGGAAATGTAGATTCAAAAAGGCTGAATCATTTCTCTCCATAGGTTGTTTTTCAGCTTTCCTCAAGGCATCAGCTGTCCTTTAAATCTGCTGCACATTATATTGCCAGGAGCAGAACGGGCAGATTGAAAGAGAAAGTATTTTTCTTTCTACCTCTTTCCTTGAGCTTTTAAGATATTTTCAAATGGTTTAAAGTCTTTGCCCTTAAAGGCAAGGTGTATCATTGGGGTGGTTCAAGGGGGGAGGAGAAAGCAGAAGGAAAAGAGAAGCAGAACTCAACTTTTACATGACATTGACAGCAACATGCTATTTTCCAGAATTTACCTCATGCAGAGGTATACCTAGGAAAGTTTAGGACTGGTAGGTAGGTAGGTAGGTAGGTAGGTAGGTAGGTAGGTAGGTAGGTAGGTAGGTAGGTAGGTAGGTAGGTAGGTAGGTAGGTAGGTGGATTTAACTGCATTTTATCATTTCTAGGTAGCTGTGATGGAAAGTCTAGATCTGCGTTTTCTAACCTGGTGCCCTCCAGATTCCCTTGAATGCACTTCCCACCATCCCCGGACAGTATGATGAGGGTTTCAAAGCAGGCAAGATCAATCTACATAAGACTGTTTGCTTTGTGCCATCAAGCTGCAGCTGATTTATAGTGATCCCAATAGGCTTTTCAAGGTATCTGAGATATTTAATGAGTGGTTTTAAATTCTCTCTCTCTCTCTCTCTCTCTCTCTCTCTCTCTCGCACACACACACACACACACACACACACACAGAGAGAGAGAGAGAGAGAGAGAGAGAGAGAGAGAGAGAGAGAGAGAGAGTTTTCATTGCCAAGTGGATATTTCAATCTAGGTCTACTGCCTCCCAGTCCATCACTCTTATCTGCAACACCACACTCTATCCTGTGCTCTCTAGATGGGACATAAGTGGCATATATTCAGTAACACCTGGTCTCAGCCCAAAAACAAAGAAGCAGCTCTTGAAGTGGGGTGAAAGTATGCAGTGTCTTGCTTCTGGAAGTGAAAGGTTGGTGGCCTGAGGGATAGCCAAATGTACTTGGAGTTATTTCCCAATCATCAGGGGGTTGTTTTCTATGTCCCTCTTGATGTTGGGTGCAAAATCATAACTCAAGTACAACATGCATATGTGGGAGGTCAAATAGATCAAATAGAATAGCCACATTTCCTTATGATATATGCATACATTAGCACTCATTGACATTTTATACAATATACTACTTTTATATATACAGGTTCTCCTGATGTCTGTATTTCTCTAATATCTTTTAGTATCTCTTAGTACACTAACAAGGTTGAATGTTAACTGTTTATCTAGCTATCTAGCTGTTCTTTGTTAGGGTCATGGTGTCTATAGTACCATCTGGATTAAACTGCATTTTATCATTTCTACCAGTGTTGATACTGTTTTATTACGTGTTTGGATTTAGAATTTTGTTCCACACTGCTTGGGAAACTTTACCCTCAAAGACACTTTATGGATCTTATAAATAATTGAGGAAACAAATAAATAAATTATTTGCTCTGAAGAAGTTAATTTAGATGTACTTAACTTTAAAAAAAAACACATAACCCTGACTTTTAAGTAAGTACACTTGGATTTGTAGTAGTATTTCAATTTACAATTCATGATTTACACTTGAATGGAAAACATGTTCTTTGTTCAGTCCACAAGGATAAACCAATGAGAAAGTTTGAGCTTGTGTGTTGAGAGAGAAAGCTATTTGTTTGGGAGATTCAACCCCTTGGTTTTTTTTCCTTCACTTGCCCTTCTGGTACCACCTGTGCTGCAAAATGTATGGTGTCCGTGTGGGATCCCAACTCAGATTTCTAGACATCCTTCAATACTTTCCTGTCCACCAACCTTCTTGTGGGAGAGATATAGCACCAAACTGCAAGGAAGGGATAGCAGTAGGATTCTAGAAATGAAACAGGCAGCCTTACCTATTGTAGCTGGTAGTAAAATGTTCACAATAGTGGTAACTACTAGTAGCAGTAGTAGTATCAGAAATAGCATTGTGCCATGGCAGATTTCCCTAGCCAGCAACTGTGTGTCTGATTCTTCACATTTTCAGATATCTTCTATCCACGTGCCATTGTCAGGTACAGATGGGGTGGTATCCTAAATACAGATGGACGGTTGACAATGAATTTACCTTGGCCCACGCCAAGGTCGAAATAGGAACAGGTTCACCTGGATTCCTTTGCCCAGTTGAAATCGAGTGTGATGGGGCCTATGTCGTTTCAGGCCAGCTCAAAGAGTGATGGTGCAGACGCTTCACCCTCGAGTGGAAAAATCCCTTCTTTCAGCTGATAGCTTCCTATGTTGCACACCTTGACCCCCCCTCTCTTCAGTGCCCCACCTCATAAGTCACAGAAAACTCGAGTGGAAAAATCCCTTCTTTCAGCTGTTAGCTTCCTATGTCGCACACCACAAGTCACAGAAAGTGTGTGTGCTTGGGTAGAGGATTTCCATCAAGTGCTACAGTGAAGACTTGCTTTGAGCCCAGTTTGAACCTCAGATTTTGTGCTAAATGACTATAAGGTGTTTGATACTCCTCTTGAGTTGTAAAGTGGTTGGGTTCCTTTCATTGAGCAGATAGGGCAAGGAAAGTTGTGGCCCTTAGTACGATAAACAAAAGAGTGAGCCATGTATTAATTTTTTTCTACCTTTCTTGTTGCAGTTCCTCCTCAGATTATAAACATCACATCAGACATCACTGTCAATGAAGGCAGCAGCGTAACCCTCTTGTGCTTGGCCTTTGGAAGACCGGAACCGACAGTGACATGGAAGCATCTGTCTGGCAAAGGTAAGATATCTTCCTCAAGAGCGGAGCTGAGGGGTCCTTACCTGAGTTTGTCTGTGCCACCACAAGCAGATGACAGAAATATGTTAAAACAAAACGGCAGCCAACTCCAGAGCAGAGGAAGAACCAGATGTTAAGTTATGGTGTGTGAATGACTTGCAGCTATGAATATTCACCCAGTTAATTCTTTGTGTGGCAACTGTGATGTCACATCCCTGTATAAAATGTTATACCTTCTAGACTGGTAATGAAGCAGCACCACAAAGTAAATTCCAAGGAGAAGTCAGGAGAAACTTTCTGAAGAACCTCAAAAAGCGTGTTTAGAGAAATGTAATAATGGCAAATAGAGAAAACTGTCCATTAAATTGTTGGTAAAATAGTCCATAAAACGTGTAACAGTGATAGCAATGCTGAAATGCATACAGGAGAAGATTAACACATGTCATGAGATGAAAAGCCCCTTTTCCTGTTCAGTCCAAGAGAGGCAGAATTGAACTGCTTGATGTATTCTTATTGAGTTGTTTCTCTTTGGAGCATGCTCTTCATGTTCTTTTATTCAAGGATGGCTACCTTGATGTTCTTCCACTGTTTCCTGGATATTGTTGTTTCCAGTACCAGATCTGTGTCCATGTGGTCATTTGTGCTGCCTGTTTATCCAATATAAAAAGCTGTCAAAGAGGACATATACACTTTATGAGGATGAGCAAGTGTATGAATCCCTGGTATTGGGGGATTACATAACTGGATCCTATAATAATGTTTCCAATGTAGATGTGGGGGGAAAAGTTGGCACCCATGTCTGTCACAGGGTCTGGTTGCTGCATCAGTATTCCTGCTACCAGTTCCATCTTTACTATTGTTTGTTTGTTTTGTTTCTTTTCAAATTTGTTGGTTGTCTTTAAACAAGTACAAGCCCCACACCGAGAGCTTGTTAGACAGGAGTTTCATTTTTGAGCATAAGCTACAGATTCCTGATGTGTTTCGGTGCTTTTAAGTGAGACCTGTGCATGACAACAAGTGGCGTTCTGTTGTTATCTGCTCAGGGTTTGTCATGCAAAATATTGCTTTTGGGTACTACTAAACTGAATCTGTTTAGTCACTTCTTTGGATGGCTATTGCTATTTGAGACATGCTTCCTTTAAATACTTCAGTTGAGAGTCTGTGTAAGATGAATTAGAACAGATCTGGCTTGGTCATAAACAATGGACAGAGGACACGTTATATTTAACCACATTGTGGCGACCATTAAAAAATTGACAAATCATTTATTTTTGAAACACAGCTCATTGTGCTTTGCATTGTTTTTTGGCTCTGTGTTAAGTCACCGACTACTGATTTTTCAAAAGAGAATTCACTGAAAATTTCATGACTGTTAACTGAAATGTTAACCACTTTTTACAAATTTTCACATCTCTCATAATGCATATAGTAATATATACTGAGTAGAAATGGGAAGCATGTAGATGTATCTGCTGATTTTCAGTAACATGTGGTGCTTATCTGCATGTCATGTACTTGTACAGTGCTGTCTAGAAAATGGATCTTCATCATGACTAGGCCAGGCTGAGGCTGATGGTGGGGTGAAGGTCATTGAATTCCTGGTTCCATTTTTCTACAGAGTGAAGGAAGTCATCATTTAATGTTAGGAATGCAGTTGTACTGGTCAAAACAGTTATTTCCCATTTTTGTGTCACGGAACTGATACTGCACAATGCATGGAGGATGTTGGGAAGTTACACATTCCTGCCTTCCTGGAGAGAACAAAAATGACTCCTTGTTAATAAAATTGAGACTAATTCCACCTAGTGGACAAATGATAGAAAAACATTATCCACATTTCAAACAACCACAACTATTGCTGCAAACTATTAAAATATCAGCCTTTTAAAAATGGTAGCTACTTGTTCTTGTGATGCCATGCTCCAGTTTTTCAGGAGCAAGACGCCTGGTTAGTGAAAGAGACAAAGCAACAGAAACGAGACATTTTCCTGAGGCCTGAATCTGAATCCAAGGGTTCGCCAGAAGGGGTTTGAAAATGAGCATATTGTCTGTGCAATGAAAATCGCTGTTTATTTTAGCTCCAGCACATCCTCGGCTTCTGAAGGATATTGTTCAGAGTCATGTTTATAAAGAAGCTTTTCAGGGTTTTTGCATAAAAAGTGCTTAAGTAAACAAAAGCGACAGCTACCTTGAAAAAAAACACCCCGCTTTCAGGAAGGGGCTCCTCATTTCTTCGATAGCCAGAGAAAGGAATGGATTATCTTTGAAAACATGCTCAAAGCAAGGAGCTTGCTGTTATAACAACAACAATGCATCATGTCTGTGTCTCTGGCTCCTTCTGTCCCAAGGCACTCTGTAGAGAGACACTAAAGATTAGAGACTCTTAGCCTTCTGCGAACTGGGTCAGCAAAAGTCACCCCGCTCCATCAAATGCAGTATTGTAATGTTTTTGAAATCTCTCTGTGTTTCAACTTTGTGTGTGTGTGTGTGTGTGTGTGCATGTGTGGCAGAATCCTACTTGATGCATTAATTTTTTTCCACCCAGGCTCCAGTAGTGGTGACATCAGATACAAATTTCTAGGTTTCCAAATGAGCAACTACTTCCATTAAACTTAAAAGGATCGGAAAGAAGCTAAAATATGAACTCTCTGCCACCAGTATAAGTGCCACTGACACTCCCCCCACACACACACATTTCAAGGATCACAACTAGTCTAGAACCTGAAATAGTCCTCTCCATATGTCCAGCTCTCCAAGGTCAGAAACACACTGAATAGCAAGTTTTAAATGCATATAGAAAGCAATCTCACTGAAGTTTATAGGATGAGGACCTTATCCTGCAGCCCTGGAGGAACCTAGGATAACTTTTGGGTCCTGGATCCCTGAAAGGCAAGGGGGAGGGAGAACAGGTGTCCGTGGAAAAGCCAGCTGATGGAAGGCAGAGGACAGAGGGGTTGAGGGGTCCCTGTGCAGGAAGCAGCAGAGAGACCCCTGCAACTGACCAAACCTTGGCATTCCTGCAGGCTAGCCAGAGCAGCAGTGCCCACCCCTGTCCAGTGGCATCTCTAGTGGCACCTGCACCAGCAGGAGAGGCCGAGGAGACTCCAGGGAAGAGCAGCAAAGCCCATCCAGGTTCCCTTCAGCAGTATGTACCATCCTTGGGAACCATCCTTGAGAAGACTCCAACTGGATCTAGGATTTATTCTTCCCTCCATTTTCTCAGTGCTGGGATTGTCAAGGCCACCAGTGAAGTCAACGGGGGCCCTTCTCCAAGAGACAATACCTGGGAGATTAGTGCAGGAACCCTATAGAGGGAATTTACATTTCAGTTCCCGTTCCTACTGATGAGTCTGTTGTAATAAAGATGCTTACGGATCATTCTCATAAGCTGGTGCCAATGGAGTTATCACTAGGGGATCCGATGGCTGCCGCTACTGCCAGTAACATCACATATGAATTAATTATTTTTAGGTTACTCAGGTTTGCTGTCTTGGCTCAAGGCCCGAGGTAGTTACCCCTTAGTATTTTCTGGATGGCATTTAACCCTGCAGAGGGATTTCCATCTTCTTTACCACCACTCAGGCCTTCTGGGGTGGAGTAAATAAGGTAAATAAGTGAATAAGTCCTCAAGTGAGTTTCTTTTCCCAGCCTTAAACCTTGCAGCGTTGGGTGCCAAATTTCACACTTTTTCCTATAAACGTTTCAGGAAATGCTCACCAAATTTTTTTTTTCACCTTGCCTCATAAACTGCACTGAATGTGCTTTCAGTATATATTGCAAACCTGCTGCCCGATGTGTCTCTCACCTTGGAGAGTTGGATCCTTGGAGATGATATGCAAGATGGTAGATACTTGGCTCAGTCATACTGCGTACAAGAAGGATCTGGAAATTGTTGTAGATCACAAGCCAACAGTGTGATGTGACTGCCAAAAATATATATGCTATTTTAGGCTGTATTAAGAGGTGCAGAAGCCTCTGTGCTGCAGGGTCAGAAGACCAGCAGTTGTAAGATCGAATCCCCATGACAGAGTGAGCCCCCGTCGCTTGTCCAAGCTCCTGCAAACTTAGCAGTTTGATAGCATGCAAAAAATGCAAGTAGATAAATAGGTACCACCTTGGTGGGAAGGTAAACAGTGCTCTGTGTCTAGTCGCGCTGGCCACATAACCACGGAAACTGTCTTTGGACAAACGCTGGCTCTACGGTTTGGAAACGGGGATGAGCACCATGCCCTAGAGAAGGACACGACTGGACCAAATGTCAAGGGGAACCTTTACCTTTATCTTTAAGAGAAGAATAGACTCCAGATGCTGTGAAGCATTGGTCCCCTCTTTTCAGCACTGGTTAGGCCTTACCTAGAGCGCTGTGTCCAGTTCTGGACACCGCACTTTAAGAAGGATGCAGACAGACAAGAACATTTTGAGAGAAGAGCAACAAGGATGATCAGGGGACTGGAAACCAAGCCCTATGGGGAAAGACAGAAATAATTTAGCATGTCTAGCCTTGAGAAAAGAAGAATGAGGGGAGATATGATAGCACTTTTCAAATACTTGAAAGGTTGCCATACAGAGGAGGGGCAGGATCTGTTCTCAATCATTCCAGAGTGCAGGACACATAATAATGGGCACAAGCTACAAGAAGCCAGATTTCAGATGAATATCAGGAAGAACTACCTAACTGTTAGATCTGTACTACAATGTAACCAATTACCTCAAGAGGTGGTGAGCGCTCCAATGCTGGAGGCATTCAAGAGGAAATTAGACAACCATCTGTTCGATCTACTTTGATTTAGAGTTCTGCATTGAGCAAGGGGGTTGAACTCGATGGCCTTATGAGGCCCCTTCCAACTCTGTTATTCTTTGATCCTGTACCAACTGAAGTCTTGGAAATGGGGGGAAAATAACATTGAATGGCTCTGAATTCAGCAAATGGAAGCTAACGAACCAGCTACAAAGATACATACCTGCTTTAGGATGGGTAGGAAGAGAAGGGAATACTGTAATCT